TGTGCTCTTCCGATCTCCCCAAAACCCCAAAACCCCAAAACCCCAAAACCCCATGGACCCAGATTTTAAAAAAAGAAACCTATATTATGTAGTTGAAAATATTATAAAATGGAAAAATCAAATAAAAGTAAATCGAAATCTTAAAGTGGATTGCTTAATCCCCAACAAACTCTATATGTCGATTAATCAGTTAATAAAAGTGATTAGAAAATGGACATTAGTATTAAGAATGAGCTTAAACCACCCAGATCTAAATCGCCTAGGAAAACTCTTTATAATAATTTCTAGTCTTTCAAATTAATGATGAATTAGAAATCAAAAAGTTAAAAGCCAAGTTTACCTAAAACCCCTTCTATGCCAGTAAATATTGATTCTAATATAGAAATCCATGTTAATCACAAAGAAACTCAAAATTCAATAAAAAGTACTTAGGATTTTAATTACCTTGAGACATTTTTATACTATTTGAGAAAGAAAAGTCCTATTCATGGCACAAAAGAACTATCAGCAGATCTCTATTACAAGGGTAGTAGTCCAGACCATATGAAAGGTATAACAACAAAAACATAGAATATTAACAAGTATAAAGCTTTGCTAACCTCTGACTACTTAAGCAAAATCTCAATCAAGTATAACTAAGATAAGCAATCTAAAAATCTACTTAGATCTAGCAAAGCATACTAATCTTTAGTTCATGAAAGAGGGGGGACAAAGGAGGATTAGGGCACACAAACTCAATTGGCTTATTCTAATCCTAATTCCTTCTTAATAAATTAGTATCATCAGGCATAGTAATAAATAACTTAGCAGAACTTTAACAAAACTTCAAATCTAGCATTCTTCATGGATGGTAGAGGCAAAATCAATCAGTCAACTTCCCCAGTTTACACAACTACTTAGTTAAATTAAATGAGTAGAAATTTACTGGGCATTATGAAAGTAGATGGTTAAGACAGTTAGTAGAATCAACAAAGAGGAATGAAAAGAGGTCCAATGCAATCTGAGAAATGGAAACCCCTTTGGATGTGTACTAAAGAAAGACTACTAATATCAAATCCAATCAAATATCAAGGTATCGTTGACAAAATACCTTATGCAAGTAGCGTTTAGACTATACCACTTTTAACTCAAAGTCAATTGAAAAGTTTTTAATCCCAACTTGATATTGAAAAGAGGAACCTTGTTAAGACAGCTGAAAGAAAATCGAGAATCAGGACCGCAATAAAGATTTAACCTAAAAGTCAATAACAAGAATATTAGCAGTAGAATAGCAGATAGAAGTATTTTAAGACTGCAGATGAGAGATACAATATAAACCTAAGTCACAACTATTCTAAAGATAAACTAATCGACTATGATCCATTAGAGCCTCACTCTCTCAAAGGAAACTATCAAAATTAACCTTAAAGACCGAGTACTCACTACAATAACTCTAAGAAAGGATCTACTGAATCTCCTACTTCAAAGTAGCAGCAAACAAAATTGAATGAAAAACTTTAAAACCTTAGAAACTTGCAATCTGGCAAGCTTGAAAGAGGGAATTAGTAAAAAGCCTCCAGATATTACTAACTCTCAGAGTTGCTATCAGAAAAGAAGTAAACTAGCGGAATACAGGATATGAAGAGGTAAAAAGTGCATGTGTATCTAAATCAAGTATTGGGTTCGGAATTCGATTTAAGCGGAGACTATGCAATCACAAGTGAGGAATTTAGTGGAAAGTAGAGCACAGCAGCACTTATAAGAAAATCACTTGAGAAGTTTTGAAAATATTTAGTGGTTTAAAATTAGTATAGTATTGAATTTAATTTGAAGGATAATTATCAAAGTCCTATAATTAGTGAATGGGGTTTTGCAAGATCAAAACACATAAGGATTGATAAAAATAATTGCTTGATAATATATGCTTATCGTTAATAAATCGATCATCACATAGGTCTCTTTGGTCTGGACTCTAAGTAATCGTTGAATATTTCTTTCATGTTGTGAGCGTACTCCTTAAGTCTTGGGAAAGTTTCATATGTCTCTCTCAAGGTAGCAGAGGTCTCGCTTAACTCATTGTATACAATTACACTTATCAAGCTAGAGAAGGAGAAATCAGCAATAGTCAATTTTTCGCCGACAAGGAATTTAGAATGACCTTAAGATTCAAGTCTCTTCTCAAAAGCAGTCAAGAACTTTGGAAAAGTGTTGGCAAGCCAGTTGGCGAGAATTTCCTTCTTTTTCTCTTCGTCTTTTTCCCATCTTGCTAATGCGAATGGATGCATCAAATCATTGAAGGCATCCAAGTATGAGTCTACTAGGTATGCTTCATAAGCATCAGTGGGCAAGTATCCATATTATAAGCCAAGATATCTCATTATAGCTTTAGTTTAGCTGAGAACTTTGCCATTGTCCAATACAAGCACAGGCACTTGCTCGAATTCTAAAACTGGGTTATCACCTGCTTTAAGTGCAGGCCATTCAGCAAAACCAATTCTGAAATCTTCAAATTCAACTTTGGCATGGTTAAGAAGCATTCTAATTGGCTCAGCTCTACCGTAGACGTCGAAGTACACAAGTTTCATGATTACAAAGATAAAGATATTTAATTACAAACCATGTAATTAAAGCTGTATTATATTTAAATTTTAAGCCTAACCTTTTGTCAAGTTCTGATTTTATATCATGGGGTTTTGGGGTTTTGGGGTTTTGGGGTTTTGGGGTTTTGGGGTTTTG